TATTTTTTTTTTATTTTATTTTGTTTATTTTTTTACTGGGAATTCATTTAATTATCATGGCTGTTTTTATGTGATATTAATAATATATTGGCAAAAATAGAGCTGAATCATATTCCCTAAAGCAAGCAAGTATTAGTTTAGATGCTTTAAATAATCTTTTAGTGCATGTATTATATAGATAACCCTGGAGAAAACTAGGCTAAAAGTACCCTGCTCAAGTACCTAATAATGGCACAAACTGGAACCTTTTGGTCACTAACCCAGATCTTTTACCACAGCACCACACCACCCAAACCCTTAGACATGCAGCTTTTTATAGAATCACCACCTTGGCCAGCTGGGCTTTCAGATCTCTGACTTCGACCTCCAGTGATCTCTTCTCCCCCAGTGCTGTGGCGAGAGACGCGTCCTTGGAGTTCAGCAGAGCTTCCAGATCCTTCAGTCTGGCCAGAGCCGATTCCAGATCCGACTCTTTCTTACCATTCCTACAGTCACAAAAATACAAAGAAGGTATTAAAGCATTTTTTTCCTCTCGGCACACAGAGGAATACAATTATTTCAATTAGATTCAGAATAGTCAGATTATTATATTCATTAATGCATGTTGAGGAAAGTCTCTTGTATCAGAAAATTGCGAGCAACTGCATTAGAGTGGCATCATGGCCTGAGTAAAGCACCTCAGGAGAGGATCGGATCTTTTCGGCTGTCAGAACTGATCTAAGACTGTAAAATATGCATCTGATTTACATCCATAAGCTTGACTGAATATGTTTGCCAAGTAGCAAAGCTTGAATAATCAGTTCAGTGCAAATGAACACCAGACTGCCCACAATTTTGCCTGGGATTTTGTACCAAAACCAAGGACTCTTTAAAATCTGTAAACAATAACCTTAAGAATCCTCTCTCTGAAACAGAGCAGGATTTGGGCCTCCAACAGTAAATTTAAACCATATGGGTGTGACTACAATGTTGTTCCTTTTTGAAGGAACCATACAAACCTTAATAAAAATACAGAATGATAAACACTTCAATAAATAAAAGATGACTGGTAGTTTTACTATGTCATCAACTGAATTAAGGCAAAGTGAGGTTTGCAGTTTTAAAACATAGAAGGGTAATAAGGCCAACTCTTACAGTCTAAAACGAGAGTATAATTTATCAACACTCATATCTGTTCTCTGTCAAAACAAGCGTTTAGGTTTAGAGTTCATCTCTGTGCATTCCCAGATCAGATTTCACAAGGCCTGTAAAATAGCTGCTCCAAAATTAGTCATGTGAGTGATTGACCGAACATGGCTTGAAACAATTAAAACTCTGCCACACTTCAGTCCCTAAGGCACCTTTCCCACACACACAACTCCTTCCCAACAACAAAAGTACGCTCAATGTGCACTCAGACTACAACGCAAGCAAACTAAAACTCAACAGACTAAAGCAAATAACTTCTAGAGTTTGTATTCTCTGTTCTGTGGAGCATTCCATCAGGCCTCCTTCCTGAGAGAAGTAATTCAACCAACTTACGATTCCCAACAACAGAGGTTTTGTTAGGTCACATACTTTACTTTACAGCCACATACCTTCACTAAAAGCTTTATGAGGCTGAGAACATGAAAAAACGTTAAATGTAGGAAAGTTAACCTCCCTGACTGAGATTACTTAAAGTAATGTACTTGTAAAATAATAGTTCGATGAATAACAGTTTTGAAGAACTGGTTACTGAAATTCAAAAGTATGGAAAAATCTTTTTTTGAAGGGAAGATATATGCGAGAACTTTTGCAGAGAGCCTTTGAGGTAACATTCATCACTATTTCTGAGGAACAGTATAACTGGAACTGAAAAAAAGCGCACAGATTTTTGTATTTTAGCTGTTCACGCTACAGGAATAAAAACAAGCACTGGTCCTCAGCAGGATACAGTGTTTATGTGGAAAAATTAGCCTAAATCTGCTCATTAAAACTTTTAATGGACACAGAGAGAGGGGAGAATTTACAACTTTAGTCCAGAGGGGCTACAGTGAAGTAGGGGGGTTACAATGAAAGTGTGTAAACAGCTGCATATTTGTGCTTAGTCAACCATAAACACACATCCAGAAACATAACCTCTTCTACTTAGGACATTTGGTCATTAAAAACCAGCCCGTTCCTGTCAGCGCCCTAAATGTGCCGTTTTGTTCTATACTTATTCTGGTTGCACAATATGGGGAAGTCGTGGCCTAATGGTTAGAGAGTCGGACTCGTAACCCAAAGGTTGTGGGTTTGAGTCTCGTACCAGCAGGGATTGTAGGTGGGGGGAGTGAATGTACAGCGCTCTCTCCCACCTTCAATACCATGACTGAGGTGCCCTTGAGCAAGGCACCGAACCCCCAACTGCTCCCCGGGTGCCGCAGCAGAAATGGCTGCCCACCGCTCCGGGTGTGTGTTCACTGCTGTGTGGGTGCACTTTGGATGGGTTAAAATGCAGAGCACTAATTCCAAGTACGGGTCACCATACTTGGCCACATGTCACTTCACTCACTCACTCACTTTAGGTCTGGAGACTCATCCTCAGCAGTGGGTGGAGCTTCTTCATCCGACGCTCTCCATCTGTAAGCTGCGGCGGTCCGCAACAACTCCGCAAACTCACCAAATTACACTTTCACAGTCTTGAGTAGCTTTCGATGCTTTTAGAAGCTCATCAGTGTGTTTTTTTGTGTCAGATTGTGTCATTTTGTATGTTGTTAGATGTCCTCCGGTCGCTGTGGCGCTGGCACGCAAACGCATGGCAGGGGAGCGTGTGGAGTCATGTGATACTCTGGAGTTTGATGTGGTGGAGCTGGCGGACACTATGGACTGGCAGCTTCCTCTGGTGAAGAGAGGCCTGAGACAGCTGCAGTGGGTCTCAGACACAGCAAGGCACCGAACCCCCAACTGCTCCCCGGGTGCCGCAGCAGAAATGGCTGCCCACCGCTCCGGGTGTGTGTTCACTGCTGTGTGGGTGCACTTTGGATGGGTTAAAATGCAGAGCACTAATTCCAAGTATGGGTCACCATACTTGGTCACATGTCACGTCACTTTAAAAAAAAAAATATATATATTAAGCAGATTGAGCAGAAACAACATTTCACAGTGGAGCAGGCCACATTTGAAGAAAACAATAAAAGTTTAAGAGCCTCATGTGGTCTAATGTTTGTTATTTGTTCTATTATTTTCTATATTTGACGTTAATTTTTTTCTGCTACTGTATTTGTTTTGCTGTTTTAGTTCTCAACATCTCCAGGATCTGTCCACAGGAAGCCAAACCAACCAGAGGCTGTTTAAAGTAGACAATAGGAGAACATGTGCGTCACTTAGCGTCACTTCTGTTCCGGGTCACATTGTCCTTGTTGACTGAACCAACATGGTCAAAGTTTACACTGCAAATGGTCAACTTTGAGTGAAGGGAGCTAAAGAAAACAAACTGGAAAATAAAGTGTGTTATAGCTAATAAGTTGAATAAAATACTACAAAACGACAGCATTTAAAAAAATTAAAAAAAACTATAAAAGCATCAATTCCAGTAAGTTTTCATTAAAAGTGTGTATTTTGTGTGCCGAGTTGTATGTGTGTGTGAGAGAGAGAAAGGGGAAAGGGTTTGGTTTGGCATCTTTGATCCAGTGGAAACATTTCAGGCACAAAAAGAGCCAGTTGAGGGAGAGAGAGAGAGAGAAAGAGAGAGAGGAGGAGAGGAATGTACCAGGTCGGCCTCCAGCACCTCTATGAATCACAGTCCTCTTTTGTGACGAAAAAGAAACCCACAAAATAAAGCCCTCTGAATGTTTTGCCATGTTACCAAGGCAAAGTGTCGTGGAAATATTTCACGTGACCATCTTTGAGAAAACTTTGACCACGAACAGGGTTTCCCCAAGATAAAAAAAAACACACTGGAGCCAAAACCATCCATTAGAAAGCTTAAATTCAAAAGCAGATACATTTTTTCCTACAGAATAAGCATTAATTAAACTGATAGCCATTCATTTTAATGTACTTATTAGTCAAAAAACACATAAAAAAAAGCTGTGGACTATCATGCACACACCCTCAGGCGGGGAAAAATGTGATCCTGGACCACAAAACCAGTCATAAGGGTACATTTTTCGAAATTGAGATTTATACATCCTCTGAAAGCTGAATAAATAAGCTTTCCATTGATGCATGGTTTGTTAGGACAATATTTGGCCAAGATACAACTATTTGAAAGTCTGGAATCTGAGAGTGCAAAAAAATCACAATATTGAGAAAATCGCCTTTAAAGTCGTCCAAAACAAGTTCTTAGCAATGCATATTACTAATCAAAAATTAAGTTTTAATATATTTACAGTAGGAAATTTACAAAATATCTTCATGGAACATGATCTTTACTTAATATCCTAATGATTTTTGGCATAAAAGAAAAATCAATCATTTTGACCCATACAATGTATTTTTGGCTATTGCTAGAAATATACCCCAGCGACTTAAGACTGGTTTTGTGGTCCAGGGTCACAAATAGTCTTGTGTATGACTGCATTCTCTGAATTATGGACTTTACACGGTCTCTCTAACACTATATTTGTTGCTTCACAAAAAGCACCATATGACAGCTGTCACCTGCAACAGCTGGAGGTTTTGAGAGGAAAAATGACTGTAGGCTTTCATCAAAGCACTTGTAAAGCCATAAAAAGCACATAGCAAAACCGCACAGTCTGACACAACACTTCATCAATATGATAAAGGACTGGAGCCTGTTAAATCAAATCTCTTTTAGCTCATACAAAAACATTTATTATGATTTGTATTTGCTAAGTCTCAATATATTTGCACAGACTACCAAATGGTAGAATCCATAGTATCTTCAGTCGAGTGTTTTATGACCATTTTATGGTTTTATAACTGGACGAAGCTTGTATGTTGTTTAAGCTAGCAAATTGTTGGGGAATCTGTTTAATGTCTCAATATTTAAAGTAATTTGTTTCCTAAAAAAATCCTGCCAGATTTTAAGTTGACAACAATAATTTATTTTCATTTCTATTTCAGCATGTTGAAATGCGGATTAGCTGAATGAACAACAGTGAAATTTACGTCCTGTAAGTTTAAGTGTTCCAGGGCATCAATACATTTTACTGTGTTCAAATACATAGTAAAACATATTGGTGCAATTCAACTCCTTATACCTAAAGCCCAAGATCTACCTTCTCATCCTCCATTCAGCTCCACAATACACCGATTCACTGCTTTTGACGTAAATGTGACTTGTACTTTCCACTTCTACTATATGGGTGGAGAGGCCACGTGACTAAATCTTAAAACAGAATAGTCTCATACAGGGGTTCCCCATTTTCCCACTGCACTATGAATAAACGTTTCCTTTTTAATTGTTGAGGCGACTCTGTCTCACTCTGCCTGGCTGCAGGCCCACCATGAGGTCTTCATGGAGACAGAGTGAAACATACAGAAGGAAATACGTATGGTCAGAAGGAAAAAGATGGTG